TCAATGCGTTTCAGAAAGGCGGGGCATAGAGGAGAAACAATAATGTGCTGTATGTGGAAAATAATGTGTTTTTTTAACCTTAAACCGCATAAACACATTTCATTAAACCAAATACACAACATAATGTTATTTTTAGCAACGTCATATGACCCCTTTAATAATACATGTTAGAGACAGGAGATGGAATAATTACTTAATTAGGAATTTACTAAAAGGATAATAATTTAATTTCTTCAAAAACATTTTGGAAATAATTTCAGTGCACTGTGTGTAAATATATATGCCATGGATGTTGCCTAAAAAATATTGTATAACTAAGGTGAGTACATTGTGAATCCTATTAAAGCACTTTTTAGTTTTAAGGTTTTGTACTCATAGAGATACCAGATGTGACTTTTGTGGATTGGAAAGGGAGAATGTTGTCCTTTTTTTAACTGCATTTATAGAATAATGTTTTGTATTGAATTGAAAGGGTTTTATTTTATTTATTTTTTATTATTATTATTATTATTTTTATTTTTTTTGATGGACAAGGATTATCACAAAATGTGGCTTTTATTGTCAACTTTTGTTTGAATATGGGGAAATACCATATGCATAAACAGAAATGGGCCAAAGGAAAGCCTTTTTTTGTTATTTAAGGTAGAAATTAAACATTATATTGAGTTATTTGAATTGATTTGAAAAATAGTAAAGCAAAACGAAGTAGGACTTTATGTGAAGCATTTAAGTTATTTGTATGACAGTCTCGTACATGTTTTTTATTATTATTATTATTAATAATAATATTTTTTTGTATATCTGTTCAAGAAATGTATATATTATCATGCTTTGATATTTACATTTATTCATTTAGCAGACGCTTTTATTCAAAGCGACTTACAAATGAGGACAATGGAAGCAATCAAAATCAACAAAAGAGCAACAATATACAAGTGCTATAACAAGTCTCAGTTAGCTTAACACAGTACACGTAGCAAGGTTTTTTCAAAATAATATAAGAAATGAAAAGAAAACAGATAGAATACAAAAAGATTAGAAAGCAAGTGTTAGTTTTTTTTTTTTTAAGAAAACAAGCAGCAAATTAATAGAGTGCCTACGGTGCTAGAGTTAGATTTTATTTAATTAAAATTCGATGTGTTTTTAGCCGATTCTTGAAGATGTCTAAAAACTCAGTTGCTCGGACTGAGTTGGGCAGGTCATTCCACCAGGAGGGAACAGTTCATTTAAAAGTCCGTAAAAGTGATTTTGTGCCTCTTTTAGATGGCACAATAATGCATCGTTCACTTGCAGAACGCACGCTTCTAGAGGGCACATAAGTCTGAAGTAGTGAATTTAGGTAAAGGGGTGCGGAGCCAGTGGTGGTTTTGTAGGCAAACATCAATGCCTTGATTTTTATGTGAGCAGCTATTGGTAGCCAGTGCAAATTGATAAACAGAGGTGTGACGTGCATTCTTTTTGGCTCATTAAAAATCAATCTTGCTGCCGCGTTCTGGATTAGTTGCAGAGGTTTGATAGAAGTGGCTGGAAGACCTGCCAAGAGAGCATTGCAATAGTCCAGCCTGGATAGAACAAGAGCTTGAACAAGGAGTTGTGAAGCATGTTCCGAAAGAAAGGGCCTGATCTTCTTGATGTTGAATAAAGTAAATCTGCAGGACCGGACAGTTTTAGCAATGTGGTCTGAGAAAGTCAACTGATCATCAATCATAACTCCAATGTTTCTAGCTGTTTTTGAAGGAGTTATGGTTGATGAGCCTAACTGGATGGTGAAATTGTGATGAA